ACACATCATCCGCATATAAGCTCGTCGATACACACTTTCACTGCACGTGCAGAATGTATGCGAATATATGTGCTGCTGCTGCTGCTGCTGGGAGCTAGACACATGGAACGAGGCGCAAACACGACTATGCGGAGCTGGCGCGCGGCTTGTACCTCCGCTTGTGAACACTTTGTTGTGGCTAATTTCAACTTCTATATCATTACAGCAACGTATCGGGTTGCTGTTTTCGTTATAGAAACGAGCCGACTCTGCGCACGAGCAAGAAGCAATAAACATGTCCCGTGGATCTGTTTCGCGTCGAGCGCGAGATCCAATACTAATACGCCGCCGAGTCGCGCTACACAAGCTACGAGGCGAGTGAAATTTCACGTACGTCGATATTTCCTATGCACCACGACGACAGGTGCGCGTCCATTAATTGGCAGCAATACAAATCTACGATTGCGCCTCGATATCGTGTGAAAAATGCGGCATTCGACGTGGTTCGCAATTTTTTAAAGGCGATAAAGCCATTTTTAAATGTCTTTGCGCGGCCAAGCCCGATTTTGCAGCACATTCGACTTTGCCGGGCGAACTTTAACCAGAGCCGCGCGTACGTGCATAAGCAGACACAGGGCAAATGCGCGACTGCATGGCCAAGGTACAAACTACAAAGTCGAGAGAGCGAGAAAGAGAGAGAATCGAATTTACGGCACCTGCGAGTGGCGGCGAGCAGCACCGTTAATCGCATTACACTCGGACGAGGACGCGCTACAAGTATTTACTTTTATAAGTTGAGCCTCGTGCACACACGCATTTATATACGAGTATATAATACAGCTCTTTTTTTTTCTCTCTCTCTATCTATCTTGCTTGTTGGCTCGCGAGCGCAGATTTGCACGCATTATTCACACTGTCTCGAGTATTACGAGAGAGCTGCAGGCATATGCACAGGCGATCGTAGCTGGAGCGTAAAAAATTATCTCCGCGAGCCGTTCGAGTGTGTTCTGCCGCGGCTATTTTCGTAGCGTGCAGTAATACGGCAGGGCAGAAACGCGAACGTGCCTGAGACGGATCTCGATGACAAAAAGCAAGAAAAAAAAACTCATATACGAGCGAAGATTATATTGTAATGAGCGAAATCGCGGCCTGAACTTTTCCGCTGGCGATATCCGAGATGCGTGCCGCGCAGTAGAGCCTAGCTGCGTCCTTCGAAAATCGTACGTGCGACCGATCCGTTTTCATGCGATTATGCATAACTGCTGCAGCGGCTCTATTATGTTGCACGCGCGGACAAACCTGCAGTCGCGCGAAAGCGACCTTCCGTATCGGTTTCATACATATACTCTATACCTATTCGTGCAGTCTACGTGTGCACGCCATCGACTCGCCGGCCCATTATGCACTGTGGGCATGCTCGCGACTCGCCGGTCGAATCGTCGTCGACGAGCCTCTTCCCTTGTGCCGATGATTCGGTCGACTCTTCCTGAGTTGATCACCGAGGAGAGCGTCGATGGAGCCCGATAAAAGTAACATATCAACAAAAAGCGCTTATCAAAGTACCAAATTGTCGGATGTCCGACGGAATAAGTGTGCGTGCGATCGCAACCGGAGAGCGAGAAAAATGGGTGGATTGCAAAATCTCCAGAGAGTCACTCAAGTGAGTAACGACGATTCGATAAAAGCCGGACCTTAACTGATCGAGCCGCAGGCCGATTCCATGTGAAATTTTCATGTTCGACTCTCGAGCTCGAACAGATCCTGGAAAGAGCAATGCGTGCTAAACAATAGATTCGCGTTTACGCGATCCGGCACAAAACACTTTAGCTAGGATACGCATTCTGCAGCAAAAAAAATCGAAATCCTTACACTCGTATTATATGCGGTGTGAACGGCTGTATGAGCGCCGATCAGCGTAATTTTTGTAAAAAGAAAAATACGCCGCTTTGTAATAACAATTTATACCAGCCGTTAATTGCCAATATACGCTCACAATAGAACATTTTCCCGCGTGCGCTATCGTTACAATGCATATATTACCGACGCGTATAGATTTTCATTGACCGATTTGCTTATTTCGCAGAATGAGCAGATCTCGTCTCTCGGAACTTGGCGATTTGCCAACGCGATACTGCGACCTGCACGCAAATTACCGATCCCAAAGATCCTTAGATAAACAATAATAGCAGCTGGTAAAATCTATTTTTTTTTGCGCGCGCGCGCCAACTATTCATTCCAACTATTCACGTGTATTAAATTACGCATCGCAGCCTTTTAAATGGTCTGCGCGAGAGAGGCGAGAGAGCTCGATCGCCGCGGCGCCGTTTATTACACATTCATCGGAGCGTTGTCTATTAGATGCAACTGAATTTGTAATTTAATGCAGTGAAATTTAGCGTGAACTTTCGTTATTATCTCGCGCGGCTTGCACTATAATTTTAAATTAATTGGCCTCTCTCGATCGATCGAGGCAAATCTCAACCCAAAAAAGCATGATGAATTAACCGCTCAAAAGAATTGCAATTTACATTGGCGATCGGGAAAAAAATGCAATAATTCGACGCTAATTACCTCGATGATGAAATGTGCGATCGCAAAAACTCGTTAGGGAAGTGCGACTCGCGCTCTTGAACGCATCCACGAGGAAAAAAAGTCGTGTTTAGAGAAATTCTTCGCTCTTATCTAATGTAAAATACCTTAGGTAATAAATATCGCGCGTGCATATGCGCACACTCATTAATCACGAATTTTCCTTGGCTTACTGCTAAAATACGAATTATCATTATTAATGCTACAATTGTAAATACGCTCGTGTGTGGCGTGGATCGAGTGCTTGCTCTACGAAGCCTAAATTTTCCTCCTTAAAACTTGATGTATAGCGCGTACAAGTGCGTAGCCGTTGTGTGCTTATACGCACGAGTCTGTATACATTCTTTATTACATTTAAAACGAGGAGTTTCGTATCCACGAGGCAACCCTGTGAAACAAGTGACTACTTGACCTCCAAAATCAGCTCCTCGTTCGTTCGCTCGAAAGGTCAAGCTAGATTTACGAGGAAATATACGTGTGTGAGTGTTTATAATAAGAGCCTAATAGTGACATCATTCGCACATATCATGTATATATAGACGCTCATCGGTCGCTTTGGAGCTGTCCGATTACGGAAGCGATTATATTCGGATCGTTGTTTCAAAACGATTAACCGATAATAAGGCTCGTTGGCTCGCTCGGTAAAAATGAATTAAAGCCCCGTCGGCGTTTGGCTTTTTTCAACAACAATATCATAATGTATTCCGCGTGTAATCGCCCGTGAGTGTGTGTTTTATTACGGCTAATGAAACGAGCGAGCCGATGAACAGCGATGATCGCGTATACAGCTTCTCGAAAATTGCATTGTTTTTTATCGGGGCGCCTCGCGGCGACTCGCCTATCGCGGTATATCGCGCACAAAGGCCAACGATGAAAATGTATAAAAATATATGCACGAGTCGAAACGGCCGATAAGCCCGAGCACTGCCGTGCAGCTTTTGCGAGCGCACGATTGCTTCGATCGCGGACTGAACAAATTTATTCGGTAGCTTTAAACTCGGCGAGCGGCTATGGCTTGGCCTCCGATCGATACCTATTGAATAAATGTATAATGCGCTTGGACACGGAGAAGAAAAATACAAAAAAAAAATAAGAGTCTGACCTACATGTGTCAGGGATCCTTGAGAATGGACGCGGACTCGGGTTCTACAATCGCTACACGATACGGGCACCCTTTGGATCAATCTCGTGATTTGGGGACAAAAATCTCGCAGCTGATGGATGACTCGCGTACATCGACGAAGAAAGGAGCGTTAGATTTAGAAGAGCGCGCGTGACGATTCAAAAATTAGCCGCGACAAGGTGAAGGAGCTCGAGCCAAAAAACGAAACACAACATAGAATTTCTCATGATCTGTTGGGCCTTTAAAAACGAAACGACTATTCAAGCAGTTATTCGGCCAATGAACCGATTTTGACAGCTTCGTGTACTTGACTCAGCTGGACTATGATTTTCTCTTTCCGAAAATATGACGAGGATTCGAGACTCTCTCTCGGTCGCGGTATAGCGATGGCGCTCGAAGAATAATTGAGCCGTGATACTTTTCTCTCACGTATTCAAACTACATTCGAAGGAGTTTTGAAAAGTGGCAAGTTGGAGGCAGAAACTCTTGGCTGGCAACACAGGTAGAGTGTAAAATACTCTACTGCTGCACCACCTTTGGCAGCTCTCGCGCGCACTCACCGATGCCACGAAGGCCTGGCGCAAGAAAAAGTACGCGCATGTACATATAGGTACATCGGCGAATACGTGCGTGCATCACGATTCATGCGATTTGCGAACGATCGAGTCGAGTCGGAGCTCATGCAAGAGAGAGAGAGAGAGAGAGAGAGAGAAATGGAGGTTTTGCTCGTTCGCGCGAGGTAGGGGAAGGGGCCAAGCTGCAGCTCGCCAACTCGCAGCAGTAGCTATATATACGGCGAAACACGCTCGGCGGCTCTCGCATAATCGCGCACATAGCTACATGCATGCACACGCAGACTCGCATACATCCATACTCGGCCGCGCACATAATATACACTACGTTCGATTCTGCAACAGCTCCGAATGCAATTTTAGCGAGATAGGGGCTTTGCCTATGCTAGCCGCTGTATCGTTGTTGTTATTGCCGGTGACAATCAACGCAGAGGCGACCCCTGCTACGCTGGATGTAGGCCTTTTTTTTCGCTCTCGCAGAATTAAATGCCTCGCAGTGTATGTCCAACATGGACAACACACATACACGCGCGCAGAAAGAGAGAATCAACTTATAAAGAACAGCAGCAGCAGCAGCGGCGGCGGCGAAGGCAGACTTTCCGCGTGGGGGATAGATGTATATTCGGATTGCCGGCGTGATATTACTACGACGATATATAGCGAAGAAAAGAAGCCAAGAGTGGGAGATGTATGTGAAGTCACGAGCGGTAGTAGCGACGGTGGCGGTGGCGGCGGCGGCGGCGGCAGTGGAGTCGCTTCGCCGAGTATAGGACTCCGGCACTTGGCTTGGCGTTTGCCGTGTATAGCAGCGGTGCCAGAGAGCAGCAGCGCCGCAAAAGCGGGGAGAGAAAAGCATCGAGGGGAATAACCCGCAACAAGTAGTCGTTTACAGTTATAGTCAGTCCGTATCAGGCGCTCGCTCAGCTGAGACAGCAGCACACAGACACGCGCGCGTATCCGCGAAAAGCGTCCGCGTCTCGAGCACGCACAGCCTCTGGTGTCGCCGCGCTTGTGATCGTCTCGACAGTACATATACCATAGCTCCTCCACAGAGCGACAGAGAGAGAGAGAGAGAGAAAAAAGACTAGAGCTGTAAGCGCAACGACGTCCCAAATTGTCATTCGAGATAACACGACGGAGTGGCGGAGCATCGACGAGCGTGCGCGACAACCAAAAGAGAAACGACGACAAGTGCGCGCAACAAGTTCGATCGCCTTCAACGAATAGAGACGGGCATCGAAAATATACATGAATGGTGTGACCGCGTGTGTTTGATAATACATGTACGTGAAAGCGCACACTTGCGACTCTGCATGTATTCGCTTCTTCGGCCGTAGATATAGATACATACATTAAAGCAAAAACGGAGCAGAGTGCGCGATTACCGGCGACGAGCGACGAGCAGAACCAAGCGGCAGAACGAGAGATTAGTGCTATCGTCGAAAAACAGAAAGAGAGAGAAAATAACGAAAAAAGAAGCAGCGAGCTCAGCAGCACCGAGGAGATATTGAAATTTTGACGAACTCGAGCCACAGCGGTAAGTTATACTCTTTCTCTCTCACGCACGAGCACTTGCTTCTGTTGACTACTACTACTATACCTATAAGGTATGTGTATATGTGCACGCGCAAGTGTGTGTATACACATATATAGTAGACGCGACTCGGCAAAGTCAGTGCGCGCCGCGGCTATATGCATCACGTGTATAGCTATATATATTCCGTACGCGGCTTCTCTCGTGCGGTAAAAAAGAAAACGACGACGACTGATCGGGAGAAAGAAGCCTCGGCATAGCTGCACTGCAACGAGCATGGCGCAGCTCGCTCTGCACGCGAGCCTCGATCGCGAGAGCTGCTCCGATTCACGGTACGAATTTCGACTCGCCAAACGAATCTCGAGCTTACGATTATGTCCCCGCTACATTATGATCTTAATCCGTACACTTGTCGCGGAGTTTCACTCGTGCTCGCTCGCCTACTCGCTTCCTCGTCGTTTCATCTTTTACATCTTCTCTCTTACGTGTGTGCGTGTAAGCGTGAGTAAATTGTGAGATCGGCTCGCTGTGTGTATGTGCAGAATACGCCAAAGACGACGCGCGCAATGCATATACGACCACGTTAATCCCTCGCTCGGATCGAAGCGGTTGAACAACCTTACCCGCAGCAATTCGCATTCGTCCAAAATCTCGCCACCTTCTCCTCTTGGCTGCCTGCGTAAACGTATACAATTACGACGTCGCACGAATGCCGCAGCTCGCGAAAGACTATTACAGCCGAAATTCGCCGATCGCTTGCAGGCCGCCGAATTTTTTCTAATCGCTCGTTTGTCGCGCGTGACCGGCTTTACTCGAGCGCGTCTGTACTCGGGGGGCCGCGAAACGCGAGGCAAATTTTATCGTTTCATTGTTTTCGTATAAGACGGCATCGTATTATTTATATGCATCTATGTGTACCTATAGCCATGCATATAAACACGTACAGTTGTATGGATACACGCTGTAATCGACTGCCGAGAGGAAAATTACACGTTTGTCTTTTTCATTGGTTAATTGAGCATTCCTCGACGTCTATAACGCATGTGTAAACACATCATGCATACGTATACGTACACGTTATAGATGCATATAGCTCTCAACCGATTTCTTTTCTTTATCGCCAGCCAAATACACGATTTGCCGTGTTTTATTTATTACAAGTACTTTATATCTTTATTGCAAAAATTATTGTCGCTCGTCACGCGTGCTCATGTATAGACCCAGCGGTATATGTATAGGCTCGACTGACAGCTCGACTCGAATCGTTCCCTAATAGTAGCGCGCCTCGATCTAACGTACATCGTTGTTGGATTCGTCAAAAAATCAGGACATTAAAGAATCATTAAGTAGTGGCCAGTGATAATTGTCATTGAAACACGATTGCGAGCCGTCTTCCTCGCCACGATAATGCCCCAACTGTCATATAAACTAGGCTATCAAATTGTCGTTCTAAACTACGACTGCTTGTCTCTACGCTAGAACGCGATACACGCATACTTACGTGAATGTATATACCCTTGTCACTCGTAATTAAAACTACCGGAATTTCGAATTGAATAATTGACAAAAAAAAATGTGAACGAGGCAAAATTTTTAATTAAGCTCTGAAATCTCACTGTAATTCTTATCGAGTAACAATTACATGAATACTAAATCGCCGAGTCGATGTAACGTTGAGCAGTATCTAAACATTTTTGATTACAATTAAAAGCTAATAATCACTATCCTGGTGTACAGTGTAAAAAGGAAAGAACAAAACGAAAGCTTCGTAGCTGGCGATATCGCATTCTAAAGACAAAATTTATTTTGTACGTATCCGCGTTATGTTTACATGTATGTGTATTTGTGTGTGCATGGCCTAAAGTTCAGTTGCTGTGTAAGTTTGTGTTTGTGCGCGTTTGATACCGCGACCGAGGCAGCATACACTTATCGCATTGTTTATGCAATCTTGAGCTTGTCAGTGTGCACACACATACACGTAGTAGTGCGCGTACACTACTCCGGTTATTCGCGTTTTATCAATTGGATTTGGAAGAAAGTGCATATACACATTTCAGCGCGCCGCCAGTTGCCTGCACATATACTGAATATACTGCGAGATCACGTATACACAGCAATATAGCTTATATACATACTTATACAGGCATCGTAAAGAGAAACTACATGCGATACATTGTATAAATACATCCATTGCAACGAGCTATTAAAAATTTACAACACCACGGAGTTATATAGTCTCGGTTCGAGTCGTTGATTCTTTGACGCAAAGTATTGTATCGGCTATTTTTCGCGACCTCAGCGGCCACGCACACGACGTACGGACGTTTGAAATTCCGCTTCTTTTTTTCCTTTCTTTCTTTCTTTCTCTCTTTCTTTTTTATAAGCTCGCGCACGTGTAGCATTCGCAAAGCTATTCCGCTTGCGAAATTCGCTGCGAGCTAATAGATCTGTACCTTGGCCACGCAGCGTAGAGGTGTCGAGATCCGCTTGCAGACATTTATCGAAATTCGTGATTTTTTTCGCCGCCTATTATTGTTATTATCATCATTCTCCGAGCGAGTGTTTATATAGACGCTTTATCTTATCCTATTCTTAGCTCGCAGACGCACAGCAATACAGTTATGCCTAGTACATGTACGTACGAGCACATGTACCGGTGCGAGAAAAAAAAAAGAGGAACAAGAAAATAGTGCATATATAATTGCGCGACGAAATAAAATTAATTATTATATTGCAAATGTATTTCGAGCATGGAAGTGCATAATGCCGATATAAACGATAAGGCGAAAATAAACGACAAATAACATGGAGGAAAAAATATTCCAACGATAAAAAAAAGTTATATATACTATTTCGTAATGTCTTGTCCGACTGCAATGACTTCTTATTCGTCGCTGCGCTCGTTTGTGTACATTTACACATGTATACTTATTTGCACAATAATCAAATATATAACGCACACGACGTATCGAAGATATTAATTTTGCGAATAACGGCGCGCTGTATCATGCGTGTACAACAAACACATGTACATTATAACTTTTACAAATGATACAAATGATTTCGTACGATGAATATCGAATGATCCGTCGAGCGTGGAAAAATCGACAAGATTTTGTGACTCGCGCTTACTTCGAAACGCGTATATTGTAAGTCGAAGCGATGATCAAATTCCAAACATTGTTGAGCGCATCCCTCCCCCTTCTGTCCCCCCCCCCCCCCTCTCCACCTCCTCTACCTCGCGCAATCCTTCAAGTTTGTGCAACAGACCTTCCTGCAGGCAGTTAACGTGTATAGTGCAACAAGAAGCCGAAATTACAGTGCCGCTCTCGACCCGAATGTACACGTATACTGCGTCATATAGTACGAGTGCAGCAGCAGCAGCACTTTGGCATGTCGATAAACTCGCGCTCGCGCCGTCTTCTCCTCCTCTTTCGCCTCGTAAAATCTGCACATTGTGCACATAATTTAATTGAAAATCCACGAGCGCAAATTTTCGACTAATGCGTGCATCAGCGATCAATTATATATTTCTCGCAGCTGCAAAATATCTTGAATATAGATGCATGGACAAGAAAAAGTTACGCTTCAACTATTCGCTCTCTCCCTCTCTTTTTTGCGCTCTCTGTCTCTCTGTTTCTCCGCGTATTCTCGCCGCTCATTATTATTATTATCATCATCTTATATGACCCTTTAAATTCCTCTCGACGGCGGCGGCGGCAGCGTCGGCTGTCCCATCGGCATCGTCGTGCCGCATAACGGTATCCGCGCGCACGGATACGCACGTGGACGACCGATGCATTTATTCCCGATGCAGTGTACATCCTATCACTGCACTGGCTGCAAATGCACTAACGCATCATACACGCACGGACGGAGCCACATGTATGCGCGAGGCTATATATTGTGAGAATTTATCGCGCACACATCCGCAACAGCTATTATAACGAAGCTCGCCAATGTTTTCTTTATTTTTGCTGCTCTTCTATATACGCGTATACGTATTATAGCCGCCGGTCTTAGCCTAATGATTCATCATTTTTAATTATAAACGATGCTCGACCGAGAGCATGTATAGGTATCCATTTTGCTCTTTCTTATACTACCTATCTACCTCTCTCTGCGTCTCTCTATATACACCTCTCGCTTGCATGCACCAAGTGACCTGAAAACTGCGATATTATCATTATTATTAATTAGTCGCTTATCTGGCTGATTTTGATCGATTTAAGTATATTGGCGATTAGATCCGCGAAACGCGAAATGACGTTTGCGCGCATTCATGCGCCTGCCTCGCGACACAGCCACGGATACAGACGTCTCACCTGGCGTATTCGAGCGATGACAAAAATCATTCGACATTTCCTACCATTTGTCTCGTTGTATTACAGCACATTTATTCGTGTAAGGCGCGAGCTTGGCTAAACCGAACTAAACGTTAGAGATTCCGCGAGGGAACTAATTATACGTGGCTCTCACCAACCACTCGATTTCATTCATTAAACGATTTCTTTAACGGTACTCGCATTCATGTGCGCTGTAAGCGCGACGCGTTCAGGCCTCACACACAACTCATGTACGCAAACGTAGCTACACTAAATAAATAATATAACAGTATCGAGCGCGTCGAGAAAAAGGAGCTGCGCGTACGTGTCGAAATTGGCAGCTATACGGCACAAGCACCTGTCGAAATAGTTGAAGTAGCTCAGCGTCTGATTTTTATAAAAAGAAAATCTAAAAGAAATTCGTCGGATTTGATAAATCCGAGTGGAATTTATGAATCGAGAGCTGCAGCGATATTCTTTGAATTTTCCATCGATGCAGCGAGCTCGCGCGAACGACCTGAACGATCCATTCGATCTCGTCATCGTCGCGCGTTTACCATTTTAGCCGCGACACTACAAGGAGCGTTCATTGAGGTGCTCGTGCGCGAGCCAAGCGAGTTAAAGAGCCGAGGCGGATCGACGCGTTCCAACAACCAGCTAGGAGATTCACAGAAGTGTGTGAAACGTTACGTTGAGTTGATGCCGCCGCCGCCGCCGCCGTAGCATAGTACCGGATGTCCATATAGTTGTAAAATAAAAAATAGGAGTCAGCGGCGTAAAAATCAGAGCAGTTACATCAGTACACTTATGGCGAATTGTATGTGCGCGACTCGCTGCAAGGTGTATCTACATTTAAAGCCCCGCAAAGTCAGTCGGTGAATGTCGCGGTATATAGGCGAGTTCGTGCCTCGTCCGTGCGCGACTTTTCCGCGCGCGCCTCGTATAACCGTACCGAAAAGAGTAGGTCGATAATCGTTGCGCGGCCTGCAGAGAGCCTCCTCTCCTTTTCTCTTTACAGTTCCACGATGCGACGCCAGCCCATGCTCGCAGTCATTGATCGCAAAATTTGCGATGCTCGCGCGCAAATTTATCTTATCTTACCGGGAAAAGTAAATTATCTTGCCTAGAAAGACGCGTCGATTACTTACGAAAACTTTGTACTCGGCCCGGAAGTCCAACACATGTCATTATCAAACGTGCTTAAGCATATTATAGGTGAAATTTGATATTTCTTTGGAATTCGCACGTAAGCGAGCTTTCAAAAGGTGTATAAATTGAGCCGAGTGAATTTGAAAAACGTGTTTTTATTTACTCTTTTTTCTTTCTAATACAAAAGTGGGTGTGTGTGGCAATTGCATGCAAATAATACTAGTATATAGACACACGGGTTATTGCGAAAAACTAAAAATCTACAGGATTACAAGCGGCTAGAATTAAGATATTATGAGCATAATACCCATGTAGTTTTCGCTCTCATTGGCGCAATGATCATTATCCCTTGACTCGCACAGCCTCGTGATTTATACGTGTAAAATAAAATAAACGTTTGACCTAAAAATTCTTGCGCTCCCGATGGAAAAAAGGAAAATCCTGCGCACAGCTCGAGTAGCTCGATTGCATAAGAATCAAAAGAGAGTTTACAAATAAGTTAGAAAAGAGACGAAAAAAAAAAAAGAAAGAAAAAAGAGAGAACCGTGCGCGTTTTCGCAACCAGCGCCGAGGCAGGCAAACTGCACATAGGCAGCTCGTCCATTAGCAAAGAATGCCAGGAGTGCGCGCGCGGGTTCTTCGCGCGAAAATGAAAGTACTCCATTTCTTGCGCGCAAAAGTTGGGATAGACAAGGAGACGCGTATATACATGTATATACGTGGCGCACAAGCGAAAGGCGGAAAAGCATCTCGTGCACTCGCACACGCGCGCAGACGAGCGAGCTCGAGGCCCGATCCAAGTGCACACTCGCGCATGCAGCGCACACGGACGGACGAGGCTACGAGAGCGCATGAACGCGGCCATACTTCATACCTCCAACTCACGAGGATGTAAGACGCCAAGATTCGCTTCGCCTACTCTAATCGCTCCGATCGAAATCCGTTTTTATATACGTAATGATTGGCCGAGGAACTGTATCGCCGATTAGGATGGCATAATCAAGCGGGCCATCGCGCAGATAGTATCGCTGAAAAACTAGTCTTTGCGCTCGTAGTTTTACTGCTGCCTAGACACAATTACACTGTCAATGTTTTCAATGTGTATCGCGATAAGCCACGATCAACTTTTGCAGACGCACTTTACGCGTGTTCACATATTTACTTTGTTATTATTTCTCACACGAGATACAAAAACATAGAAGCTTGACATGAAAACAAAAATTAATGTGTTCGCACTTTTTTGTGTTTCAGATTTATCTTGAGATGACGAAATCGATGATTATCGACGACGAGACGGCACAAGTGTATTAGGAAAATTCAAGTGTGAATACCTGTATCGATTTATCGCGAGTTTATTCAGTGCTAGTGATTTCGGTGCTTCTGTGTTTTACTGGAAAAAGCATAAAACCAAGTGCATCGTCGCCAAGTCTCGAAGAAGAAAGAGAGAACTAGCGGATGCTCTCCTGAGATAAGTTCGGTATTGGACTGCCGGCACATCTCTCGAGGAGACATCGGAGGAGGCCAGTGACCTCTGCCACTACACATATATCCTGCGCAGCTGGACAAGCAATAAAAGCTCGATTGCAACGCGCGACACAGGCTTGTGATTAGCAGCCATAACCACCATCACGACGAGGAAAGACAACAAATACAAAACGTAAGTAACACGTGCACACGAGATTTTCCGCGAAACAATAGATTAAGGACGAGTATACACAAATGACTCGACGCTATTCGATTCTAAGGACGACTACCCAACGAAAAAATAACTTACGCGTAACAGATAGCGTAGCAGATAGATAATGTATGATTTGGCGTCACGTATACTAAACACATTATGACAAAACTTTTCTCTGCTATTTGAACGACGAAAAAAATCATTTGAATTCGCGTCTTGATTGTACACGCGAGAAAGATTGTCATTTCGATCGATAAACGGCACACATTCTTAGATATAAAGATTGCTTTGATATTATTACAATTTTCATTGTCATTTCAGCAAAAATGCCAGCGTCGATCGCTCGTAATAACGTCGTGATTCAACAATTATGATGAAAAAGAGAGAGAAAAAAGTAAAGTTACGCGGTTTTCCCACTAATCGCTTTTATCGCAAAGTTTCATTAATTATTTACTATAGTTTTTTGTTAAGTTGTAAAATCTCAGCCTCTTATCTGACTGAGTTTTTGTTTACATTGTAAGAGAAGAGGGAAAAAACAAGTTCCGCGGAGTATGTGCATTTCCCAGGAACGGGAGTCTTTAGACATTATTGACACAGTGAAAAGCTGTCACATGACATCATCGCTCTAAATTATTATATTATACGCAGCGCACGAGACCAGTGCTTCTCGCTGTCTTATCGCACAAATAAGCAGCACGTGCTCCAATTGGGGGAATCACGCACATTATTTTCCTACATTTTATTCCAGATACCAAATCGCATTTTCTATTTCTTTTTTTTCCGCTTAAGAGGAAAAATTAGCAATTCACCAGCAATATCGCACACATTTTTCCTGCTACTACAGAAAATACTCCGTATCGATTACGCATTAATTCTTTATAGATATAATATTGTACACTACTGGACGATGTAGAATCCGAAATAGCTTCTTCAAAGCTTTTGTTTTTTTTTTTTTTTTTTTTGCTCACTCGTCATAAAAACGAATCAATTAACGCGTGTATTCTCTCCTCCATATTAGCGCATAGCTCGACGGGCGGTGCACATTACACATTGAATGATTGAAGACAATCGCGTTTAAATACACTATTATCTTGACACTTGCTGGTCTGCAAGTGCGTATTATTACGTCGAATGAAATTCATTCAAGCAAAACATTTCATTCGAGCACACTTGCAGCTCGTTTGTTGTTGTTTTTATCCTTGTATTGTCGCTACTCGCGGACACGTTTTAAGCACTACGCGCGCTCACGTACACACGACCTACGTAATTTTCTGATGTACTCTCTTGTTAATTGTTAAGTAAACGACGTAATTTTCATTTCCACTTAGCAACGTCTCGACTCTGGCGCTGTACGCACAAGTTTATGCATAAGGTATACATACATAATATGCGCTGACAAGAATCATTTCTCGCGAAGAAAAAATCGTGCACGACTCGCGTGCGCACAGCTGCTCGTTCATATATAGGAAGTTTCAAGAAAATCCAACGCGCGACGATAAATATCCGCCACGTGACGTCAGAGGGGAAAAACTATTTAATTTTTTGCTGCTTCTCTCTTCGAGCTGCTCATCTCTCTCTCTACTGATTCAATGATCTTTAAACGAGATTGGGATTTCTCTTTTGGAATTATACATTAGCGGGTCCATGTTCACACGCATCTGTATACAAGGCTGAATCAAAATCTCTCTCTTATCTCGTCGTGCATGATAATTTTTTCTCTCGATCTCGGCCTCTTTCACTGCGCTTGCTAGCGCAATATCAAAGCACGCTTAATTTCGCAAATAAAAAGTCGTCTCAGTAAGGAGAGTGAAAAATGTTTGTAACGAGACAAAAGCCAAGTATTATATTAAGGACACCTGTGTGGAACTGGCATACACGATCGATGACAGTTGAAATAGAAAAAAAAAATAAGTAAGGCAACGCGCGAAGATGTCGCGCATGTTTATCACTCTCCACTCAGTATGTATAAATAGAAAGAAATAAATTTAAAACGCGTCATTCGAGTCTCGAAACCGAAAATCCACACCGACCACTTTCATTTGAAATGATCAGCTCCACATATATAGTATTGAGATATACACCTACTTCGCGGAGCTTGTATATATCCACTTATAAGCAAGTCGGAGCCGAGTTCCTCAACTGGCAACGCTGCTCCTGACGTCAAAGGCCTATCCTACTTAATAATCGTTATCCCTTTCACGTCATTGCGTATTCTATTCTGTTTATCTGCCCTTTTTCCGCAGGAGGCGATTCGCGGCGAAATTCGACAGTCGAGCAAGCGCAGTCGACATAAATCAGAAAATCGTCTTGCACGACGCGAATGACAAACGTTGCATTAAAGCGCCTATACATATCGAGTATGCTCGTGTATGTGTGTATGTGTAGCTGCCGTCGAGAGGCCGAAAAAGTAAAAATTTCGCTTGCTCGCAAAAGGAATGTCGTTCTCGAATGTCAACGAACCTGATATCGCTTATAATGTATATAGCTGCCTCGGCGCTGTACCGCGCGCGCGAGCAAGCCGAGCGAGCTCGAGCGGCTTGTGTGTCCGGCACTTCTTGACCCATTTCAAAACGTCAGTTGCTCGCTGCTGCTGCCGTTGCTATATAACTTCAGCTACTTACACTGCCGAGCTCTGACACTCGTCGGTTTAATTTCCTTCTTTGCTCGATGCACACAACACGCTTATACGCGCATACATACACGCACACGAGCACGCGCGATTATTATCGTATTATGTATTATGCCCGACAAAGTATAAATATATATAAATAAATTGATACATCAAGAATCCAATTTTATTATATAAATTTGAATTTTAAATCTCTTTTCCTTTCAACATCAATGCAGCTTGCATAAACAACTTACATTACAAGAGACATTGGCCTCTTTTTGAGCGCGCGAAGTGCATCACAGATTGATAATGATAATCGCACTCGCAGCTCAGTTAGTCTCTGTGTGGCTGCTCTTTTTGTTTTAACTCTACACCTAAGCTTTATTTAATATTATAAAAGAGAAAAAAACACTTTTGCACGTATTTGACGAACAAATGTTTGTTTTTTTATTTTACAGAAAAATGAGGAACTTGGAAAGAGTATCCGTGAGCGATCAAGATTCGATCGATCAAGAAATGTACATTGACCTGGACGACGTCTCGGTCGATTCGCTAAGCGGCAAACGGAGTCGTACACATCTGACAGAGGTAATACTTTTCGTCAATGTGCCGCAAGCACATATATTTATTCGCTTGGGTAATTCTCAATCGGGAAATCAAATGTATAGCCCGAGAATCTTTGGAATTCATACAAATCTCTAGTAAAATATCATGCTCGATTGAGTCACTTCGACTATGGCTATTTTAATTCGGCTAACGCGTCCGCGCATTAATGTATAATATAAGGTGTTATATGGAAATATTCGTTTACGTCATCGACGAGTCATTTTGAAAATACACACGAAAAAAAGGCAAGTACAAGTCGAACGAGCGATATAAACAGAGTGACATCAAACAAATGATAAGAGAACGTCACGAGCGAGCGACATTACGTGTACGTCGCGGGCAACAAGTGTCCGCGCATGTATATACACACGCGCACTTCCTTCCGTTCTGTGGACTGCAATTCCTTCGGCGTGGAAATTAATATTTTTTTTTTTTCATCATCTTCGCAATTGTTTTTTTCTCGTTAATGAACGTACACACTGCACACGTGTCATTATGAGGCAAGGCGATACTGCAGTTTTCCTCTTTTACAGTCGGCAAGGTCACGGAGGTAAACATTTTTTCAATAAAAGAGAAAAAAGCCGAGTACGATGCACATGTCGCGCACTGAAAAAATAATTACATCGGAAATTTTATGCAACGGCTCGAAACGCTCTTGACTGATTCCTTTTTTTTTCGAAAAAAACTTTCACCTCGAAATTACGTCTCTCGAGTTCTCACGACAATAAAATTTCTCTTATCAAATCGCGCGTATACGCAACTATGTTGCACGCGGTTTATGTGTGCATCATTAAATTATATTAAATGCATTCGTGTGCGGTTTGACGCACTTTCAAAGAATTTTTGGAAATATACTCGTCGTCGCGAGAATAAATGCCCGAACGAAGAGCATATATAAGAGAAGAAAAAAGTGCATACGAGTATAATTGGCTCTCGCCGCGCGTTTGACTGCAGTTGCGAAAAAAGAATGAGAAAAAAATAATCCTCAAAGCCGAAAGAAAGGATCTCGAGCGAGTCGTGCGCGCGCGTGAAAACTTTCTCTCCTTTATTATGCACAATGCAAATAAAGATTCAGCGAATTCGTTGCGCGCTCGATGCATAGACGCTTCAAATAATTCTCTCTCTCTCTCCTCTCATAATCAGAAATAGCACTCGCGAGATACACGTGTCAATTTTGTATTTTTCATCCGGCAAAGCTCGGACTAAAAACTTGAAATTTTCGTCAAGGATCCATGCGCGCACAAAACTCTCTCGCGCGCGACGAAGAGGCATATAATAATGGCTACACGCGAGGAGGTAGCAATAGCAGCAGCACCAGCAGCAGCGTAAAAAGGAACTTGTTTGCATAACTTGAATTTCCAGTCTCTGCAGCTACGAGACTGTATATACATATACACATAATGACGAATCCTTTCTGAGCTGCTGTCTCTCTCTCTCGGTGCCTATATAATATACCACAAGCTCGCGACGAGATATTATTTTGTACCATCCACGTGCGCGTATACATCTCGCTTAAATTTTTTTTATTTCCTCAGCCTGACGTTCCATTTTATGAATGTATATATCCATTATGAATTCATTAATTTACTTGCTAAATCGCATCCTATACAGAAGATTTATCGTTATTATCGTATAACCTGGTGGATTCGATCCGTTCTCGTGTATAATGCAATCAGAAATGGGAATAACATTCGGCGTCATCGATATAGGACTTGAAAATAAATGTAACCCCCTCGCGTCTATTTCCTTATCGACGAGCTCGAGGAAAGACGAAGATTACATAATTGCCGTATCGGCGCGTAATGTATCGAAAATGACGGCGCGTTACATCGAAATGACTCTCGAGCAAGTTTACTAAACGTCGAGCATCTATTTTGTTGTTAATAATATTTTGTAATTTATTTCGCCTGTAAGACTATTCTAATTTGCAATGAAATTTGTGTGTCCCACGAATGGCAGGTAGGCGACGAAAGCGACAGCAGCGGCAGCGAGCGAGGCGCCAAACGATCGAAAAGGCGCAACAGGGGCACGTCGTCGTCAACGTCAGCGAATCGCCGGCGCAAGAGTGGCATATCGGCACGGGAGCGCACCTTGAGAAGGCTTGAAAGCAATGAACGAGAGCGCATGAGGATGCACTCGCTCAACGATGCTTTTGAGGTGAATATATTCGCAAAAAAACACGACATAGGCTGAAGGAAAAAAACTTTTTTCGTGGACAGCGCGACTCTCGACTCGTTGACGACCCACGCGCATTTGACTCGAAAAAAAAAAGAACGCGGGCGTTTACAAATACGGGTCGGAGCTGAAAAGTGTTTCCAAGAAAAATCAGGGCATTGAATGCAAGCGCGTATGCGCGAAAAAGAGTAGATCCGAAAGTCCAGCGAACGTTTACTTGTCGTTCTATGATAAGCGGGCTGAATTACGCACGCACACAAAGACGCACCGGACGTTCAACTTATCACGCTCGATTTTCATTCAAGTTTATGCGTATGTGTATTTTCGTCATTGCGACAAAAATAAGCTTAAGCGCGTGCAAGCACAAGGTACATGCTCATTTTTATCGCACTCGTTGCCTACTTGAACGCGTGTGTATAAAAAGAGAGAGAAAGGGAAAGAGAGAGAGAAAACGAGAGCAGAAGCCTTTATCACGTGCGTTCCTCGCCGGCTTATAATACAGTACGAGCGCGAATAATGTGCAACACAACAATAGCCCGCTGTACAACATTAAAGTCGTATGAAAATATGCGCGTCTATACGTATATGCATGTACGTGTGCACGGAAGATATAATCAAAATTTATGGACTCGGCTTATAGAACGCAGATACTTTGCTTTCGCGATATATCGCTCGCTATGTGTACGTATATATACTTATATGCCGGCACCGAAATAGCCAAGCGGGGGCGACAGAACATACAATGAGCAACGCACGAACGTACCTACGCGAAGTAGCTGCTATACGACAATAATTGAGATATACCTGGTCGTTTAGAAAAACGATTGTTTTACCTACTCGCAGAAGCGCCACGATCGCTGCCTTATATATCGCACATCCGCCACTCTTGCATATCTGACTATATAGCGCGCAGCACATACAAATACGTACGTGTTGACAAAATGAGACTAATTGTTGATATTTTGTCTGTTTATTGCGACTCGCTTCCGGCCGATCCGAGCAGCAACTGCGAGAAGTCATACCTCACGTAAAGATGGAAAGAAAACTCAGCAAAATCGAAACGCTCACGCTCGCCAAGAATTACATAATGGCACTGACGAATGTCATATGCGAGATGCGCGGAGAGGAGCAGCCATACACGTAAGTTCATTGTCATCTTGATTCATGCTACTTTTTTCACGTTTCCCTCTGCAGCTACGGCGCCCTTCCCTCCCATCCGAATACTCGCCTATTGCATCGATTCATCGATTGCGCCAGCGCGCCTTATTTACCTTTATTTCGCGCGTACTCTATATGTGTTCGCCGCGTTGAACAATTTTGCCGTGTGTTGAGTGAGGTTGTTTTTTTTCTCGTCGCTTCTCGGCGACGCGACGACGATTCAAACTTGCGACACGATTTTATCGAGTCGCTCGTCCGCGGGCGCAACCAGCAGCCATTGTCTTGTAATAAACGAAAAAATTTCAAAACCGTGTGTACATCGTTGAACTTGAATAATTATCACATGATCGACTTTATCGGATTGCCAATCGCAATTTTATCGTTGGCTCGTTGAACGAGATTTGCTTTTTCTTTTGTTTTTTCTTTTCATTTTCTTTTTTCTTTTTTCTTTTTTCTTTCGAGCGCACTGCGAAACACAGAGTAGTCGCGTGTACGAGCGTGTAGGCGAATAAAAATTTATGATAATTTTTCAAATGTGCCGTGTATATACAGACGTATGTAAACGTAACCGATAAGAGAGCCCGTGCACAATTATATATTCGTCAACGGTGTAATAGAAAATTCAGCCTTGAGAGTGAGAAAGCGAAAAGTGCAGGCTTGAGGCAGGCACACAACGTTTTTAATCGACTATCGATATATTAGTATTTATATACGAGCATCGGCCGCATAACATAATAATGTACGTGTAATTGTGTGTACCTTATCGAGAGGCTCACTTGCAACTGGTTCTCGCGATGCGGATATACCTATATGAAAATGTAATTATTATCAAGCTCGAGAGCTCGAGCGCGTACGGCTGGCGAGCTTCGATTAAAATAACCGCGATCATATAATGTCGAATTAGAATTAAAAAAACAACCTCGAGCAAGATCGAAGCGGAGCTTTTTATTTATCGCGGGACTGCTATCGCGCTTGTAAAATGTTTTTTTACTCAGCTTTTTTATGTACAATTTTAAACGCGACGCGATCTTTGCGACTTTTTTCGACGGCAAATCTCAATTTTTTGGGTTAAAAATAAGTAGAAAATTAATGCAAGCAAATTTACCGCGCGCAGACGACTGTATAATCATCGTCCTCGTCATCTGCATCATTGTCACGATGACGCAGAGAGTCTCTCAGCGTGAACTAATAATCATACACATTTCTCTCTGCATGTGCGTCTCTCTTGGAACTTTGAATTAACTCGAAATTTCAATGACAAAACAACTAATGGCACGTCCGTCTGTATGTTTTACCATAGATTCGTCGACGAGTGCGGGTCAAACAGCGGCGACAGCAGTCCTGGTCAGCTGGAGCTAAGCGGGCTCGAGCAAGCCGAGGAAGGAGAATCATCGCCGTCATCGGCGCACGAGACCAACAATAATAGTCTCCTTCACGAGGACCTCGAGCGCAGGATATAAGCGCCCGGGCCGAAAGCGAGAAGAAAAGAAGCCAACCTTCGTGCACATACACAAACACACACACTCATACGTGCGCTCCGAATCGATCATAATATCCCGGATCTGATATTGCTATTATGACGCTAGACTACGCCAACAAGTGGAGAGAAGCGAGACAAGAGGCAGGAGAGAAGAGAGAAAAAAAATTAACGTGCGCTGTGTGTTTAGGATTGCGTTTGTGCGTGATTAGCAGTGGGTTTTTTTTTGGAGAATATATATTGTACTTTCAACATGTGTAGGTACTAGGAAAAAAAGGAGGAAACGCGGTTAAGGGTGAAACTGTGATAGCGATTCTGCGAATGCGCTGATTATAGAGCAAACGATGGAATTACATTAAGCGCATAATATTATATTGTTTTCTTACTTTGCTCTCTTTTTCTGCGTGCTTTTATTGTCAATGACTGCGTATTTAATTTGTACCGTTCGAAATCAAATCGCGTGACCGAATCGAAATTTTACATCCTTCTTTTATGCCTGCATTAAATCAAGACTTGACGAAATGCAAAAGAGCACGACATAGTTCATAAAATAAGCGATAGAAAAAAGAAGAAGATGAAAAATAAATAATGCGTCAGGCTTAACGAACAGCTGCAGCAGATCATCGTGTATCTATATAATAATACGAGAAAAGTGCGCACTATCTCAAGAGAGCCGTCCAAATAGTGCAATGAACAGTTATTTAAGTGTACTACTTTGCGCGTATACGATTCGCTGAAAGAGCGAGGAAAAAAAACAGCGTGGAAAATACTTAACGAGAACAACAACAACGACGTGATGTGCGCAAAAGATATATACATATATACACGCTATACAGTATACATATATATATTTATATATTTTTTGGACTTTGTCTCGCTAACCCGCATCAACTCATGCGTAAAGTAGCGACAACGACAAAAAGACGCCTTTTTTTGTGAAACAGCGCTCCGTTATACATTTTTAATACGAAATTGTTAAAAAAAATAAAATAAAATAAAATCATCACGGTTTGCGTATGCAAGGCAACAAATGCCGAGAAACAATTTTCGGCATAAGCACGCACATCTCGAACACATACACACACGCTCACGCGCGCGCTCACGAAATAATATTTTTGCATATACCTGTGCATTCCATGATGATTATATATACTACACATAACATACTACACACTGTACATTAACATGTTTTTAAAAGAAGAGATAGAGGAGGAGAAGAGACTCTATACAGCATTCCTGATGGCAATGGTGATGATGATGATGATGATGATGATGATGGCGGCGGCGGCTACAGCGGCGGTACCGAGAGGTTGTTTCGCGTTGGAACATATAACGGTTTTGAGAAAGCCCGAAAAACAAGCACACACCATGCCAGCGACTCTCATCATTGCGTGTACTATAGGTATATACATGTATAAAAGCGGCGTCAATGAACTTGATGCGATTGCTCCGATGGCAGAGTATCGATACGATGATTTCAATAAACGACGAGATGCGCGCGCGGCCACTCAATTTTTGGCTTTAAACGGCTTTATTGTCAATCCGGCCTGTTCTAATCACTAAATTTCGATGGAATTTCAAACATTAGTTTCAAATTAATTTTTCTCTAACATGTACATTAAAGGTCAGCGACCAGGCGTTATTGATCGACTGAATTTTTTAATAAGTGATAAATTTTAATTTTAATTGGCCGAGGAAGAGAAAAATTATTTATGCCTTATAACACAAAATATTGCGATTTTATTTTGATTGTAAAGGCTGAAAAGATTTTATGATATATATGTGTATGAGAAATTTATGACGAATGTGTTTTATAAAAATAATTTATATTCGTAAGTTTTGCCAAAAAAAGAACACGAAACGTTCGAATAATTTTGCATTCAAACGATATTATACACAATGAAAGAGATGTGTTATTTTACTAATCAGATGGGCATGCGAGTATAAATGTCTACATTATAGATGTCTACACTATAGATATTTGAGAAAAAAGCCTCTGTCACGACAAATCGTTTTTATTACACGCAATCAACAAGTATATATAATATTAAAAAACATATATCCTAAAGAATATAAGACTTATAACGATTGTGTAAATCAATTACTTTTTACGCATGCGATTATATTTATGTATAGATATTATATATGTTATTAAATGAATCGGCACATAGCGAGCATATGATAATTAATCATTGTAGATTATATTTATAAACAATTTTTTAATCATGGCACGCATAATTTCAATCATTATTTCGTATGTTGTACGTATACATATTTCCAAGAATCTATTTTTATTGAGGTAACTTCAGAGAAAGTATATTTATTATAAAAAAAGCGTGGATTGTATTATGAAAAATTTGTGTATCGATTATATGAGAAAAAAGTTAAAAGGTTTTCTAAGTATATTTTACTTTGCGATGGAGGCGTGAAAACCTCATTGAGTTAAAATTGATGTTTTTATACGCAAATATATATATATACGTAATAAGACATGGTATGAGAGTAGAAGAAAAATAAATAACAGATTTTTATCGCATATACAAAAGTAATCGATGCCTAGCTTCGGTGCTTAGTTACCAAGACTCGAACAGAATAATGTACTTCATATAAAAAAAGTATATAAGAAAACATTCTCTGACGTGTCTTTCACCTTGTAAAAAAAAAAGAAAATGAAAATTTACAACAATGCCATCGAACGACGTGAGATCGCGATGCACAAAACCGATGTGAATAATAATACTATATTAAAGATATAAAACTTTTAATATTTTTATACGTATTTAAAGAGGAAGAAATTTTAATATTATAAACTATAATAAGAGTATAAAGAAAATGATGTTACATGTTTGATTTGCAATAAATTATATCGCGCACAAAGTATTTAATATGAAATAAAAATATGCTGCAAATTATTGTTACGTTGCTTTTTTGTTTGTATCGCGTTTGGGTGTATATTTTTAATTGTTTAAACAAGGCATCGATTTCAAGCCTATTAAAAGAGAGCACAAATGTTAGGCAACGAGAAAATTGCAATGCAGGCCTTCGTATTTTCTGTTGATTTATTTATTATCTTTTTATTATTTTTTTTTGTGAAAATCATCATGAATGATATTCTGCTTGTTTAATTTGATGCGATTAGCACAATCTGCGCTTAATAACGTGCCCGCCCTCTCAACAATTGTACAAAATATTATAATTCACATTAATTTAAGTAAAAGTATATATCATTGATCGTTATATATTTTCGAAAAGGTTGATAAATATATATGATCCTTGGATATAAGGATGAGTTTCATAAGCGTATAAACACATCACGTACGTGCAATTAAGTACATATATTATACATATATGCATATGCGATATTTGTTGCCTTTGTGTTTTTTTGTAATGTTTATTTGTCAGTGTCAGAGTAAAAGAAGAAATAGAGTGAAAGAGAGATAAACAATTTCGTTCTTATTTTCGACATTTCATTATCGCTCTCGATTTAATATACATATAAATGTGAAAACGAAAATGTCAAGTAAAGCGAAACGTTTTGTATTTCATGGCGATTTTAATGTAAAAAAGTTATTATTATAATGTAATACGTGTGTTGCGTCTTTGTCAAAGAAAACAAATTCTGTTTAAGCTTTGTTTTCATCGTTTTTATGCACATCACAGATTTTTTGTTAATTATTTTGAAAAACGGCAGAATAATAGACTGGTCCAATATGCATAGTAAATTTTTAAATTTCATTAATTTTATCAAAACTATTCTGAAACTACAATTTTCTATTATAAAGAAATCTAAAAACTACTCTTATATAAAACTTGTACGAAATTTAACAAAATTACTGGTGTTATATATTTTTGTCCATAATTATATGTGTATTCGAAAATTGATTAATGTAATAAAAATGACCTGCATAATAAGCACAAACAATTTAATCCAAGTCGTTTTTTTACTTCAGATTTATTAATATTCTTGTCTTCATCTGTAGTAAGTTATCAATTTAAATCATGATTCGCTAGCAACTATTATCCAGTTGCACAAGTGAATTGCATTTTTTGAAAAATTTCAAAAACGTAAGAAAAATTCTATTTACTATTCGAATTCATTTAAAGCTCCTCTGCATACCTACGAGTATAAGAAACACCAAATTTAGTGTAATTCATAAATAAACAGCACGAAATGAATCATTGATCACAGAGGAAGGTAAGGTAACCAAAAATATCGCATATTCTTGACCTTGGCGGCATTTTTGTGTTTTTGCATGGTCATTGAATTCTCAATTTAATCCGTTCGCATAGGTGTGTAATCAATCGGGCAGTTTATTTATCAACACAAAACATGCTGGAACCGGCGCGTGTATAAATATTTAACAAAAACAGTTATGACTTATTGACACGGTCGTAATTCGCAATACCTTAAAATTGTTTTCAACCCATCCTCGCGCCGATCAACTAGTTCGTCGCTCTCGTAAACTTAAGTCAAAAATTATACTTGAATACTCGCGCTTATAAACATGACTTCTTTTTTTCTGTGCAATTGCAACGGCGTTATAATGAGAGCGAAAAAATGCGCTTCTTGATAATCAACTCCTTTTCCTCCTACCTAATTCCAGATTTATCACGGAGAAGCCGAGATTAAAAATAGAATGAAACGAAGGAAAAACGTTGGAAGTGTAAACACGTCATCGTCCGTAGGCGAGCACAGAGAGCTCATCGAGCAACAATATATAATTTACATTGAATCTGCGCCGCAAGAGCCTGATCTGCAGGCGCATTTTACGGTTAGCGGATGAAAAGAAAACGAGATACTCGCGCGTGTAAACAGCCGATGCGACAGCGCTAATTAATTTTCTTCTTTCCATTGTATTCAAGGCAAATCGTTGGACTATAAGTCATACAGGCATAAGCAAGTTTTTTCATCATCATTATTATAAATGTAATATTCTTGATGCGTAAATGCGTATGTAAAACATCTTTGAAATTATACAGGCAAAACAAGATATTCCGTGTAGTGGTGTGAATCATTTATGGCGTTTAACGGCTCCTCGCTTCGTGCGGAGCTATTTGCCATTGTACTGCGTCGTTGAAATTTTCTAAGAAACGCATAGACGCATGAGCCGCGAGTACTTTTACGCATTTATACTTATGTATGTATGCGGACACGTGTGTCGTTGTGTCGGATGCCGCAGCATTGTCAATGTATCATGTAGATGCGTGTATAAATGTGTGCAAATCGTGTGTACTGTACGCAGAGCTACATTTCTCCGTGTATCGCTGACTGCATCCGCGAAACATTTGTGGTCGATTTTCTAATTTTTACTGCCAACATCGGCATCATCCCGCTTGGAATTTCATTTCAAGTTTCGAAGATTATGCAACGCTCAAAACAACTATAATACTTACATCGCTTCTATTACTTGGCATTTTTGCTCCGTAGTTATTTGTCCTTGTACATAATTGATAAAGCCACGAGCCAAACTGATCTATGTTTCGTTGTTTTCCTCCCGTAGGTGATAAAATACTCGACATTCTGAAAATTCTCTTCTCGGTAACGTCTATTTCTACGATACGTCGACAAGCCGAATGATGCGCGAATTCGATGCAACTTTTTCAAACCCATCGAGTGATGACACCTTTGAAATCTTACGAGAAATCGAATCATTCACAATTCAAACGACCGTTGATAATCGTACAAACGCATAATAAGAACTGCTCCGATTGGCCTGCATTGCAGCATTGCATCGAGTTCAAAACGCTAATTCGAATGCTCTGACCGCCGACCGGTGCAGCCGGCACGCACAGAGCCCTTAACTGCTGACATCTGTGTTCTCGCGACGCAATTCCACGGCGCCCCTCCTTTTTCCATCGCGCAAAGAGCACAACACCGGGAAAGAGTGTTCAGTTCGAATACAAAACTCGGCTTATGTACGCTGAAACAGTTGAGATCGTTTCAAATTTCAAGAAGTAGGCGCCTTATCAGGATCCTCGAGTTCTGTGGTTTATGTTCTGCGAATTTTTTCTACAACCGCAACAAAATGGAACAGGACTTTTATCTTTCTTCCGATGGTAAATAAACCGAAATATTCAACATTATTTTAATGATTTAACCTTTTGTAGTGTTAACAAAATGATGTATTTTTCATTTCACCCGTCATTATTTTGATTACTCACAACTCATTGATTGAATATTGTTCATTGTAGAAATTGTTGAATCAATCAAACGTGAGAGGTTAAGTATTTACGATGTGGATCCCAAAAACATAACACTAGACAAAGATCAAAATTACGCAAGCTTACTGATAAAGGATGATTTAGCAATGGATATTAGTGATTCTGCTAGTAGTGACAGTGACAATACCTCCAATTCTTCTGAACAATCAATTGAATTGCCAAGTAAAATAATAAAGCTTGCTGATGATCTTACAGAGTTGGAAATATATAACGTCAACTGCAGGGAATTACCAGAATGTACATTGAAAAGATTACCTATAGATTTGAAGAAATTATATGTTCATCATACTTCAATTGCGCTATTACCTACCAAAATCAGTCATATGTTACATTTAAGAGTTCTGGATTTAAGCTACAATAAACTTGAAGATATACCAGATAGCTTTGAATCCCTAACAAATTTAAAATCTCTTAATCTAAAGTATAATCAATTAAAAGATTTGCCTAAATCGCTTAGGAAACTGCAAAGATTGAAAGAACTTGACATTAGCGGTAACAAGTTTACTCAAATGCCTCATTGTGTACAGTATGGAATGGGGACTTTAATAACATTAAATGTTTCTCATAATAAAGGAATGAATGTACATATTTCGCCTTACAGTAGATATATAGAAAAATTTTATGCCAACAGCAATGGCAAATGTTTTTCATTCCCAGATTGGACGTTGAAGAATAAATACTTTGCGTTAAAAGAAATTAATTTAGATGATACTCAATTTGATGTTTACAACTTTGAGGGCCAAGGAAACAATTTGAGCATCGATAATATTTCCATGAAAAACTCTAATTTATCAAGTGCAGTTCTAAATATGATAGTAGAAAATATGACTAAAATCAAGGTTTTAAAAATTGGAAATAATCAATCTTCGTGCTCCATCGTAAATATCTTCAATAGTATACCCATTACAACATTAAAAAGTCCAGCCAATCTGATAGATTTAGATGTTTCTGCAACATCTTTGCCAATGATACCCAAAGAAATTATAAAACTTGAAAACTTAGTAAAAGTAGATTTTAGTTTTAATTGTATTTCTTGGATTCCTGATGAGTTTTGTGAATTACAGAAGTTAGAGTACTTATCAATTTCAGGAAATAAAATGATTCTTCTTCCTAAGAACATAGGAAATTTGAAATTGTTAAAGGTGTTGAAGTCATCTAATAATGATATAAGACAATTGCCAGAATCCTTTAAAACTTTAACAAATTTAGAAATAGTTGATTTTTATGAAAACAATTTTGAAGAATTTCCTGCAGTACTTTCCTGTTTACCTCACTTAAAGGGATTAGATTTTGAACAAAATTGTTTCTCTACAAATGAATTAATGGTAAATGAAAACTTTTTTTTAGTCTATATCACATATAATCTTATTAAATAGTATATAAATATTATTAAAATTTTACTTCATTCTGTAGGTGGGAGAGGACTCATACATGAATCTTCGCAATGCTTACATATCTGCAGCAAAGCAAAGTGACAGTTCCATTGGCGATAGGAAAATTGGATTAAAAAATTCTCCTTATGATTATAGTGATGATGAATCGGATAATTCAAAAGATTCCATGGATGACTACTATTTTCAGGAACATCATCATTCAGAAAATATAATGTATCTTAAGACATCAGATTCTGATGAATGTTGGGACACAAAAACTGATTCTGCAGATGAATTTGAACCGGCAATTGGTAAGTTTGAATTTTAAACAATTTATTGAGGCATTATAAAAGTTCAAAAATTGATAAGATTTATCATTCAGCCATGAAAGAAGTAAATTACAATGTTCTATCAAGAAAACAGCAATGGATAGTAGGTGAAGGATTTTGTCCTGCTGATCTGCATGTTAAAACCATAAAATCTCAAGTATCATGTATGCGGAAGTACGGTTCAATACCGGCTCATAGTATTGAAGAAGGACAATTTGACGATGACTAATTAAAAATGTTAATGTAGTCATACATTTTCAAATTTTTTGATATGCATTGTGAATATGATTTATTGACGGAGGTATTTATTTTATTGAGCTAAGTTTCAATATCAAGTTTGAAATACTTAATACTTTTACCTCAACTAAAATTATGATTCTATAAGAAACTTTTTTTTTACATCAAAACGAGTGCAAGTGTACAAATTGAAAAATTATAAGTCAAATCTTGTTGATTGATTTTTAATTGAGTAATCAAATTCTAATTTTTTTTTTATTTGAGTAGTTATACTGATGTATTGAAATAACATAGTTTTCTTTTATTTTTTTGTACAGTGTATTGTACAAATCAATTGTATATTGAAGAATAACTATGCATACATGGCTGAAAAGTCAATGAACTTATTTTATAATTATTGACTCAGCATTTAAATATCATCTTAGTGCTTTTATTAATTTATTTTTATTTTATTATGACCAAAAAGAATGACGTGTTAATGTACACTCTATAAATTGTTATGGCTTAATTAGAAATTATGCTCTGTTTTATTTATATATAGAAAAAATATATAATTTTGAAAAGGAATGCCATATTAATTCATAAGTGAGTGATGAATGTATAAATGAAAATACTGCATAACTGTTGTAAAGATGACATGTTGATATGTACATATATTTTTTTTTGTCACATTTTCAAATATAAAACAGTTATGAAATAAAATGTTTGAAACTATAATTTCTTGCTTTCCTTCTGCATGCCTGTCTGCACACCCCGATTCTACCTACATACCTACATAACGGATACGCATGTACGAAGCTCGATCGACCTTGTCTCCTCTAGTCAAGGTTAACTCTATCAAGTTCTACGCGTAATCGTACGAGGCATCATTTACGTAGGTATTTGTGATACTTTGATAATTCGCTGCACTTCTAAAAGAGAAGTACATGTGTATCGGTGTATCGCCAGATGGACCAACGATAGGCCAGTGTCCCATACACTCGAACAACGGCAATAGCTCTCGGGCGAATTCGTTCCTCTGGGAGTCGTGTTCTCTCTTCCCAAGCCTCCGCAGATAAATAACTTGGTAATGCCTCGATAGCTGTAGGATAGCCCTCTCGAGTTACGCATTCACTCACCCTCGACGAAGGTAACACGCGTGAAATTGCAGCAGTCAGCCGTAAGCAGCAATCAGCAAGTCCGAGGCGCATTACTTTCTCAATAGTTTCATCCGATCGTCGATACCGAAGCTCGTATCGTAGTCGTCGCTCGCGTCGTCATCGTCGCGACAGTCGCCGGCTTCGCAATCACGATCGATCAGCGACCGATCATTAGGATGGTGCCGACGTTGGCGTCGATCGTCGCAACGGGCGACTCTACCGATGACGAGCGAACCGACGACGAATACCAGACTGAATAATGAGCCAGCCACGAGACCGACGACAATCATGTCAATCACGAGAAGCATGTACAAGTCTCCGTCACCGCCGCCGCTGCTGCTGCTGCTGTTGGTCTCGACGCTTTTGCCCGTCGTTGTTGGCCCGTAACTGAGTAACGAGGCCTCGATATGTAGCTCGAGCGATCCGAATAATCCGCTATTATACTTACGAGACGTAGCTAGATGCAAGTGGAGAGCTGGCCGTCGCCGACCAACTGGTCGTCTCCTCGGTTGGCACGAGTTGACCGAAGGAATCGTTGACGGCTCGCAGCACGTCCTTGCCGAGCTCCCGAAACGTCGTCTTGCCCAACCAATCGGCGAGGTCGCGACGCCCGATCTGACGCAGTCGATGCTCCAGATGTTGGTGGGTTTTGCCGGCCCCCTCGCCGGGACTCGAGTTCCAGTGCAGCAGTTGGCGCAGACACGGGATTTTCTTGCTTATCGCCGCCTCTGAACCAAACGACAACCAAATGATCGATTCTATCTCGTTCGCGTGAAGCTCGAAAAGTGCCTCACCTGCTTCGCTCAGCTGCTTCGGCAATTCGTAGCTGTCAAAGTGTAGAGCCGCGACGAGTAGGCGACACTCTTTGGCTCGCAGATGCGCCGCCAAGTACTCCAATTCCTGCAGGTTCAGGTCGATGGTGCCGCTCGACTTTTTCGAAAAGTCGCAAATTATCAACAGCGAGAGCAAAGCTCGGCAATAATCTACCATTATGCGGCTTTGTTGATTTTCATCCGCGACGGAGAGAAGAAATAAAACATTTGAAAAACGTGTGCAACCATGTTATTTACGGCTATCGTACATTCGTCAGAAATATTTCCAAACGCAAATCCAGACAAATCGAGGGAAACAAGAGTTTGCTTTTTAAAGAGGCTGAAGCAATCATCTGATCTGCTTCTTCTTCGTCTTCTTTTTCTTGGCTTTCTTCCTGCGACAGGGCTGGCAGCCGACCTGCTGTTCCGGTGTTCCTTCCTGCGACCTGAGTAACTCCGAGCGACTGTCCTGCGTACCCTGGTCAACCAATTTGGCTTTTTTCTTTTTCTTCTTGCCCCTGCCGAACTTCATCATGTCGAGAGAGGAAAATCTCTTTCTCCGATAGGGATTGTAGCCTCCCTCCTCGACGTCGAACAGATCTTGCCTGTGCAGGATTTTACGTTGTCTCGAGGACCACAGAAGCAAATGTCGAACCGATTCGTCAGCTTACTTGGATCGAGTCTTGTCCTTGTTTTTGTCGCGGAAGCAGCAGGAGCAGCACTTTCGGAGGCAGCGCATCAGGCGATTTCTCAAGAACAAGGCGCAGCAGCAGCTCACCAGTACGATGACGCCGAGGATCGCGAGGAAGGTCGACCATCGCATCTTTGACATCAGATGCTCTGCCCCGAGCACATTTTACACAGCGCATGTTTTAATCGAGCTCATGGGAATTCAAATCGTATTTTTCAATCGAGTGCAATAGTAAAGAGTCGTTAAAGTATACTAACGAAAAGAAGTCTGGGCCAAGGAATTTTTGCTCGTTTCTTTTTCCTCTTTTTCCCCTTCTGCGCTGGTTTTGTTCTTACTCTCCTCTTTGTCTTCACCCTCAGCCTCGTCGGCCTCGTCAGCCTCAGCATAATCCTTGTCATTCCTTGGCACATTAGAAAGTTTTCGTGTTATTTTGTTCAACTAGTTCAATCGTTCGCTCCATTTCCTCCCCTCTTCCCCCATAATAATCCCTATTCTACGATATGATTATTCATGTACAACTATACGTGAACTAACAATAATTTTGGCTCTCGGTCGTACTCGTTATTCTCTTCATTGGCTTTTTTCCTAGCATCCTTGGGGTCGTTACTGGCGAGCTTATTCTGATTTTTGCGCTTCGAAGACGAGCCAAATAATTCCTCTTCCAGTTTCAATTGAGACTTGGACAAAGTTTTCTCTACTTTGTCTGGAGCAGCTGAAGCAACGGCAGCCGATTTCAGCTTCTTCTTGAACCTGTTCTGCAGAGTACCGGCGCCGTAGCTCGGCTCGAATCGCAGCGGCTGCAACTGAACCGGCTCGTAGTAAAGGTTTTGGAGGCCAGCCGCCGTCGGTTTGGCGTAAACATTTCTCAAGGTCAGCATCGCGAGCGAGTTTGCACGAGTCCACTGCTGCTTTGGCACTGGCCAAGTTTTAGAATCATTCGAACTTGGAAGCAACCTCACTGGCTGAAAGCTCGCCACTATTCTCACAGGTTAGGTATACCTGTTTACTAATACCTATTAGCATAATCGTACGATACAGCGACGATCGATAAACATTTTTTAAATTATACATAGTGCATGTTGTGTAATTGCACGAAAACCTCGTGTCCGCCAAGGATATGAAACTTTTATTTACTTTTTACACCTTGATTTTATTGCTATTATTCTCGCAGGTAAAGGAGTTTATATTTATTTACTATATACTTTTGTTGCATCGAACTTTTTCATCCTCGAGTTTATGTGAAATATTTTTATGTAAACACATAACCTCGCGAGTAAAAGGCGCAAAGAAAAGCAGTGTTTACGGAAGGCGGCGTGCTTGCTCGAGCTTTCACTCGCACCTTTTCTCCAGGGAAAAAGCTCGACAGTTGCCGGGGATTCGGCCAAAGGACACGAGCAAGCAGCGCCGCGAAGGAAATTGAATCCGAGCGAGGATGCCTCGAGGCTGTTGCTGAAGCATCGGTTGCCGCCAAGGAATAACAGCAGCAGCAGCACCACCACCACCAACAACAACAACAACAACAACAACAACAACAAAAACAGCGAGTTACCAACGAGTGAGTCTGCCAGGCAGTGAATTTCCAAGCCGTACTTGTCTCGAGCAAAGCTCGACTCGAATGGAATTTCGTGGTTTCTTCAGTCGGCGCGAGGAAGGATGTCTCGTGGTCTCGAGGCAAGCGGGAGGTCAAAGCTCCGTCTCGCTTTCTTCTGCGCTTCACCGAGCTCCAGCCCCAGGCCGAGGAACAGCAGCTGATGAGACGCAAGCAGGCCCCCGCGTCCTCCTCGTCCTCGCTGAGATTCGGCAGGAAGCGATACCGCGGCTCGACGCGCGTCCTCGACCGCCAGCGCAAGCGCCAGCAATTGGCCTCGATGCTCGATCAGTCGAGCTCGCGGAACGCCGCCTCGGCCCTCGCCCCCGACGACCAAAACGATCAGCCCGACAATACGTGAGCTTTCTCGCATTTTTCTACTGCGCTCCAATTTCCTCCCGAGTTCACTACAACTTTTCCTGGAGCAGGACAAAAACTGTGCAAGTAGTGCATTGCGTGGTCACGTAAGATTGCTACACCGATAAAGTTTTGATCTTTGCTTATTACAAAGAATGAATAAAAAAAAGTCATTCTTTTCGTTCTTAGCAACAAGACAGAAAGCAAGGACGAGGTGGCGACGAGCGACGAAGAAGCGACTCGTCGGGTTCGTCGGACGGTCGTCATCATCTTCGTCCTCATATTCGTCGCCACGACGGCCAGCGCACTTTACTCCTGCTATCGCAACAAGAAGGCCGAGTCGAGAGAAAGGGCAGCGCCTGACAGCTCCAGCTTCGGCATGTACCGAAAAAAGGCTGCCTCCGTGGATAGTGCATCTTTCGCAAACGCCAGCGAAAAAAAGACCGAGGAGCCTGGCAGTACATTTTTCTCGTTCTTCGGCAAGAAAAAAGCCCAAACCAAAGAGATTCCACCCTTTTATTGGTAATTCTTGCTTTTCCTTTTTATTTGTATCTCTCTGCAGCCGCGATGTATTGAAAAACTGATCGAAATTCTCGCCCGCGCACCTGAGTCTCTTTTTCTCTCGGTGAAAATTCTCTACTCACCCTCGACGCAGTCCCCCGGAAATAGGCATGGATCAGAGCGACGGCAATGGCAAGCATGTAACAGCGACGAGGGCAAGGACGCAGCAGGAGGACGATCGCTGCACCTGCCCCACGCGCCCCTCGGACGATTCGCAATTGTCGAGGCAAAGAGGCGGCGGCGGCGGCGGCAATTGGCGAAAGCAGCAACAAAAACGAACGAGGCTAAAGAGGCAGGAAAGCGCGAAAAAGTCGATAAAAAAGGCCGAGTCTAGAGAGCTGCGGAGCAAATTTATCCACTCCGAGTGTGCTAATTGCAAATGCTGCGAGTGCAGCGAAGCTCAAGCAAGTACGTTAACGCACACGCAGACACAATGCGCTTCTCCGGACTCGTCCGGACGACGAGTTAATTGCTTTTCTTTCGCAGAGCCAAAGCAGCAGCAGCAGCAACGCACGAGGCGCTTCAGTCTGTTTCGTGGATTTGGAAAAGTCGAGAGACGCGACGATGAGAAGGCAATTAACTGTCTCGGCAAACTCTGCGGCAAGGATCAGTCGAGCCACGACGAGACCGACTCCAACAAGAGGCAGAGTAATGGCACTGCGCCACCGATGGACAACGACGGTCTCGGCCGCAGCGACTGCATCGCTGGATTCGATCTGAGGGTCAAGAATTAGCCCGTTGACGAGCGAATGAACTCGAGAGCGAGCGTGAGTCGAGTCTATGCTTATTTTTCAATCGGACATTGTCGTACGCGAGGCACGCGCGAAACTCTCCCCGCCCGCCCCCCGGAGCGCGCGACGCCCGACATGCAGCATTTTGCACCGGAACTAACGGCTGTGCGGCCGTCGACGCATCTATAATGCATATATCCGCTCCAGCGTTGGCATGCCAAGATGCGACTCGAGTCTTCCTGGTCCGTCAAATGAAAACCTCCTACTTGTCGTATTTTACTATACTTTAATTTTATTCTTCATAAAATTACATTGTTTCTTATTACAATAAGGTACAAAAAATGCTTACGCGACATTTCCATGTGATTTTGCACATTAACTTTACAATTATATATTTGCAGTACTGTAGGAAATTAAAAGCTTGAATTCGGCAATATTAGTGCGAACGAGACATTTTATATCCGTAAATGTGTACAATATGTGGATACTCCTATTTTACAACACAGTTATCATGTTGGGCGTTTTTTTTTTTTTTTTTTCAAAAGAGCACGACGGATTTAATTACATATTTTTCAATTGAAAAGCTCATTCAAACCTATTCGCCTGTACAGTTAAAAGCGTTTTTTTCCTTTTTTCGTTTGTTTCATTTTTCTTCTTTGGCAAAAAACGCATCTGTTGAATTCAGAGACACGGTTTCCCCCCGCTCTCTGTCTCTCTCTTTCTCTTTCATCAAGCTGAAAAAAACGTAAAAAGAGCGCATACACATCTATAACGACGAAAAGAGACATTTTTTTCTCGTTCCACTCCACTCTTCCACGTCGTGATTTTATCGATCGAGACGAATGGGCGCACTTCTTTTTTTCTCATCAGCGTGAAAATTGTCACCTGGTATTTAAAACAATAGATGTGCTTCGTATTCCATGTACATGTACATACACACATATATATTTATATTTTTTTTTACTCGCATACTTGACTATCCACTCACTCGGTTGACGAAAAATGTCGATTGAAATTATTCGAAGCGTTTATTATGTATCTTTGTTATATCGATCATTGCATAATTTTTTAATGCTTGCAGCTATATAGGCCATTATTTTAATGGATACAGTGAACACTTTTTCGTAAATTCATTTAGATACTTTGTATATTGAGCTTTTTTGTAATATCCTTTCACTTTAATTATTCTATATCGATTTTAAGCCCTCTCTCTGGACAAGAATAAAATTATAGGTAATTAGCAATAGTAGCTGCAGCTTCAGAGGACCGAGTGAATGTTCTTTGTGGAAGTAAAAACTAAAATATTTACTCGATCACGGAGTCGATTTAGAAAAATATGATTAAAAATTCGGTCATCTTAATCTCATAATATTTTATTTCTCTCGCATTCAAGTGGGGTGTAATTCATTACGTGGTAAACGCTTGAAATATGATACTATAAACGGCGTCCAGTGTCTTGTTCCACGCCTCCGCAGTCTCGGGTGTGAACTTTGTTCCAAATTTCTGCCGCAAGACCTCTAGAATGACTTCCTTCAAGTGCTGAAAAACAAGAGGAAAAAGGAAAAAAAGCGATAAAAATTGTAGGCTTGCTCAGAAGGAGATAGTTGGTAAATTTGCGCGAACCAGCATCGTGTTTGCATTGAGTCGAGCTCGCGCGTATGTACTCGTAACCGATCAAAAGAGCTCGACGAACGTAAATTCCATACAGCAAAGCTGTATATCTTAGCGTCGGCTATTTGGCTTTGCCTCGGGCTTGTACAGATACTTGCCACTGTGCGCGGCCAAGCTCATCATCGTTGCGATACTCGTACGTGTGTATGCGCACGTAGTACGTCCACACTCGTGCGTACCGATGAGGTCGAGAGGAATTTTTTTCTTTCCTTCGCGCATAGCAATTATTCGCGTGTGTTTGCACGAGTTAAAACGCCTTCGGTCCGTGCGGTATATTCACGAGAGCAACGAGAGCAGTCGAGAGATATTTCGTTGGCGCGACCTTATAGCGAGTCAAGGCCCCCACCGTTGCGCTCGCGGTGAACTGCTGTTATATATCTGTTATATAGATCGCAGCCGCTTTTCACGCGGATGAAAAGCAGAGCTCGTGCTTTTAATGATTCGAGCCTCGTCTCCCGCGCAAATCGACGTCTCGAAATCGCAATCGCGCCGCGCGAGCATCGACTGCGTAAACACGTCGATGATTCTTAGTTAGCCTTATAGAGGAGGCTGCTTTGTATACGCGTGTCGAAAACTAGCGAGTCTTATAAATACCAGAAATTGTTCTCTGGTGTTTCCACGCCTGTGATGCCTCTCGCCTATCGCCAGTAGATTGGCTTCGAGCAACGCCGGATCGCCCATCGAGTCGACGACGTTGTTCAGCGCCGTTATTATGCTCAGACAGTGAGCCTGGAACTTTTTGTTTGCCGCAAGCTCGTCCACCGGCAGGTCCTTGAAAGCTCCGAATAATTTCTGATACTCCGGATGCTTTTTGAAGAAGCTATGTACAGAGGCAGAAAGAGAGAGAGAGATGGACACTTCCAGGCAGACAAAAAATTCTCGCACATCGCGACTCGTTGAAAAATGGGGGAAAAAATAAGAGAGAGCTTGCGATACTCGACTTGATACTCACGTAATCATGATGGCAACTCCATTGGCTATCGGCTCCTTTCTCACGACCGACCATGTGCTTTGGACGAGTTTCTTCTGCCGGCCCGTCAGGCCAGTCGCTGGGTCGATTACATTTTCGTTCGAGGATCCGTAAAATATGCTCGTCAAGCCGCCCATTTTTCTTCTCGCTAGGCCGGGCCCGGGAACTTTGGCTTGCCTGTAAATTTTCGTCCAACGACCAAAGAAAAAAGGATGCCTGATGTTTCATTTTCGTGACAAGTCGAGATAGAGAAAAAGAAAAAGAAAGACAAGTCGTTGCGCGAGCCGAGCCGCGTTGTGGCTCGTTATTTTCTATCGAATAAAATCAATATGCATAACGTGTACATGGCTTGGCACATCATTATATCGCGCGCGCGGCAAAAGGTCGCTCGGGCGCGAGAAAGAGAGCAAGAGAGAGAGAGATCGTTATAACTTGTGACCCGAGATGCTAATCAAAGCAGCAAACGCGCATTAGACCGACTCTCTTTTTCTCTCTTCGTTTCGTCGTTTTTAATTGTCTTGGTCGACCAAAGCCATATGCACGTGCGAAAAGTCATCGTTTCTAGTCTACAACATAGTTACGATTAAACAATCGGTGCACCTTTTCATTCTCTTTCGCGAAAACGTCGCGATGCAATTAGGAAACTTTTAAAAATGTCGTAATGATGAATTCACAATTTTTTTCTACTGAAAACTTGTTCTTCTTTTCTCTGCTATTGGTGCTTATATCGACATTGTACTTTTTATTTAAAAAAAGAATCAAAATAAAACATTTGCTCAAACTTTACTTTAAGCTACGATAACGAGATTCATAACTTTTATCGTTATGCTATTCTGTGTGAACTGCGATTTCTTCTCTTATTAAACGAGCTCTTATTGAACTACATTTGAAATACGTGTCGAACAGCATTTGAAGATGAAAAAAATTGCGAAGAACGTCATAATTGGTAGAAAAAAAATCTGTACCGAAAATACTCGATTCAATGCTTGGATTATGGTCGAGAGTAGCTTTGTTATTATTTGAATCGTAGCTAGCTCCGAAGCACGCATGACGATTTGAAAATATCACTTTGAAGCCTTGAAATAAACGTACTCAAAGCACAAATAGTATAAAAAGTGCGCGACAATGTAAATAAACATTGTAATTCAGTTAAGCTTTCGAAGAGATAACTACGGGAGACGTTCGAACGGATTGGAGAATTGAAAAGAAATTGAGCCAATTGACGAGAATTAGAAAATGAAGAGGCAGTCTTTAGTCACTTACCAAAGAAATGAGCGCTGTTTACAAATGCAACTAGGATCGACGAGCGGCAGCAAAGAGAAGCGAAAGCGAAAAAATCGCACGGGAGCAGGAGCTTTATTACCTCCGTAGGCCGTGCGATTGCAAAAAGGTAGCTGCGATTCGAGCTGGCGATCCGGAGCGCGTGTCGAGCAAAGTGCGTACAAGAATGTTATTGTATACGGATATTTGTGTACGTTATATAGAGGAGCCGTGTCACGTAGACGCAGCTAGTTCAGGCCAATACGACGGACCAACTGACACTGTGCGCGGCGAGCTGTTGCAGCGCGCGGCGGCGATCATCGCGCGGTCCACCCGAGAGGGAGTAAGATAGAGCGAGACAGACATAGAGACACGTCCCTTGTATGTGCAATTATGTTGCGCGCCTCTATACCTGTATATATCGCCGCCTGCCTTCGTATTCTCTCTCTCGCTCTCCCTCGCTCGCTGCTGCACTCCGCACATGTACACATACGTGTGTCGTGCGCGGCCGAGTGGGTGTGTGGCTGTGCGGCGAGTATACATACGTGTATCGATGCGAGCGAGAAAAAATAAGGGAGATGAAGCACGGAAGATGATTAGGTATGACACGATATCGCCTACATATTCGCTCCACATACACGAGTGCATACACACGACGCACCGACTTGTTATCATTATTACAATGAAACTGCAGAGGCGACCGGCTGTCGTTGTACGTATTGTACGCTGCACACGATTTACGTGGGCTCGTCGCTCGACGACGACGCTCTCTAAAGCAACACTTGGCCTTATCTCCGCATCCCCAAACGAATCATCTTTGCTTCTTTATTCCGCGCTGCATCGAGCCAACATTGCCGAGCAAACGTTATTTTTTTTATAGATCGGTTGCATCGGACTAATACCCAAATACTTGGTCAATATTAAGTAGCCGTAATACTTTAGCTAATTTTGTCGCTTAATGCACCCGACTCATTTTTAATTTTTGACGCATAGCTTCCCTCCTCTCTTTAAAATACTCTTATTATTTAAAACAATGTTATTTTAATTATTACATTTTTTGAAGGCACATCTTTTCGAGACGAGATATTTCAATAAAACAAATCGTAGGGTGACAGGATAATACTTGAATTGTTTCGAGCTTCTTCATGATTTACTTTGCGATCAGCTGACAGCGACTATTTAAAAGTCATAATAACGGTAGAGTTGATTTATTGATAATTGATCAAAGCTGCATAGAATAAAATTAAAAAAGACAAATTTCATGCAAAGTTGACGTTAGTTGATCGGACAACGAGTCGAGACTCTGGACTCTGGAGTGGCAAGTGCTACGCGAACCTCGGCTACTGCGCAAATGCAGATTTTCCAGCAACCGTATAGCAACTACTTTCGCCGCCGACGCCAGCGCAGCTGCAACGCTGCAACAGCATCGAAAGAGAATAAGAGAAACGGGAGGCGCACGCAGCCGCGCGTACACATTCAACACTGCAACACGTTGTACACGGCGCACATATCCAATGCTACATATATATACGAACTCGGAGCTATATGCAGTGTTCGGCTGCTCTACAGTCTGTGGATCATCGCGTGCATGTGTGTGTGTGTGTGTGGTGTGTGTTGTGTTGTGTGTATGATGTGTTTGTGCAGCGCCCGCGCCGCGCCGTACCGAGAGCTTCGAGCAGTTCGAGCGGCTTGGCAAAATAACTGCGTAGCCAAACCTGAAACAGCGGCGGAAGAAGACGGGAGGTGCGAGGCTTGCGCGTCCTCGACGTTTTGAGCAACAACAACAACAGCGACGACGACGACGACATCATCCACGACGAAGAGTACAAGGATTTTAAATTCTTTTTCTCCTCTCGAAGTCGTCGCGAAGAAAATTCGAGGCGCTATCATGTTTGTTGACATCCACATACGTTAATCAGCTCATCGAAGTTCACAGTCCACACACACATATACACGCACGCGTGCAAAGTCGCATCGAAAATCTTCTCTCATTTGGGTTAGTCGATCTTTGTTGTCATGTACACTTATACCTATATATAAGTCGCGGACGCCATCGGCTTCTCTAACGAACCTCGTAGCTTCCTTTGTTCGACTGTTCTCTACCTGCTTTCCCCCTTGCTTCCTTTGCTCCTCTACCCCCCCCCCCCCCCCC